TCAGTTGGTGCTGGCGGGATTGCTTACGGTTGTCACTGACAATCGCATGCGCCACCTCTTCTCTGCTCCTTTTCAGTGTCGCATTTTTTTATTGATTGACGGACGCCATTCTGTCCGGCGTGCCACCTTGATTGTATTGTGTGGGACTGCTCGCCAACGCCATCGGAGAAAGCAGGCCGACTTTTCACGTATTTAATTCCACCTTGCGCGCAGGTATTTTCTTCACATGTTCTGTTGGGCACTCAAACAGCGAGGTGTCCGGAAATATGCGTGCGTGGAATTCTTCCTGCCGTGTGAACTGCGGGCAGCACCGAGGGGCTGCCACTTTGACTCCGCAGAGTTGTTGCGTCTCTTTGCGGGGTTGGCAGGGAAATTCCATGTCTTTTGTTACTGCTGGTTTGTCCCCAAATGTTGTCACTCCATGCGAATAATGTGCTTCAGCGAGTGAGGGGGTGGTTGGGTTTGTGTGCACTCTGGTTCTGTTTGCTACTTTGTGCGGGCACGCAAAACCTGATTGGTGGTAAAATGGAGCGGGGCGATGCGTGGCCGCGTGCGGCCCATCGTTCACTGCACGATTGTGTGGTGCACACTGTGGTGCTTCCTCTGCGATGTGACTGCGGTTTTCTGTGCGGCAATGGTGGTGGGTGGAGGAGATTGTTGGTCCGCGGCGGGACGGTGGGATCGTGCCTCCTTTATTTTTCTTTTGTGAAGGTGTGCACTTATTTTTGGTGTCGGTGATGGGGCAAAGCGACAGACAACGTGGATAAAACAAAATAAAAAAGGGCGATAGTGTGGCGGTGTTGGGGTTGGTTGCACGCCTCGCGTTGCTTCGGGGGCGGTGGGCCTCGACTGCTTCACCGACAGGCGTCGCAGTGCGGCTGCATGGCGCACCGACCACCGAGCCGTGCGAGTGCCACGCCCAACGCCATTGGGACAGCGGGACGAAGCAGCCGTGAGTGTCCTTTGGAGCCAGCGGCACCTGCTGGCCGCAGTTGGGCGGTGCGAGTGGGACGCTTCACTGCACGGGTGTTGTGATGGCGCCTTGCAGCGGCTCTTGTGATGGTTCCGACGCTGCAGCTCGACATGTGGTGGGGAGTGAAGTGTGGCCGCGGTGGACCATGAGCAGCACCGTAGAGGAAATCCTGCAGGAGGAAAACACTAGCAGCACCAACATGATGCTGAGTGATTTCCTTTGGAATTATGTTGGCGGCAGGGCGGCCGTTGATGAAAGACTACAATGTGACGATGGAGATGTTTGTTCAGGAGCCGGATGATTGCGTACAAGACCAGCGGCTTCTTGAAGAAATTTTTAACTTAACTGCGTACCAAGCGCTGGAGGCCATTACTAAGCCACTTTACGAAGGTGTGTTCTCCCCCGGGCAATGGAGGGACTATGAAAGAAAAAGGATACGATCACTCCTCTTGCAAGGGGAACACCAAACGGGGTACTCACGCAGGTACTGACGGAAGCGAGGCGGGAGGCAGAGGAAAGGCTAAGACGAACGCAGGAAATGAAATTTACCATTTCCACTAATATCGATGGTGTACTGTTTAAAGGAAGAGCTCGCGTCAAGGAAATGAAGCTGAACGACTATCTTACGAGGGAACTGGACGGCAGGGGCATTGTGGACACCAATCGGGATGTCTTGCTGGAGGAGTTTTTCAAGGACCCCACGAAGTATATCCGTGATAAGGAGCATTAAACGAAATGCAGGCATCGGATCGTTATTTGAGTATGAAGCGAGCTGTGAAGGGTGAAGCGATCTTCGATGAGGATATACGCAAGCTTTGCGATAAGGGTGTCAGCAATCCACCGGGGTGGTCATTAGCTGCTGCGGAGGCAAAAGCAGCTGTTCATAACTCCACCAAACATTTCTTGGATGCAGCTGCCGGGGAGGCGAGGAACCCAACGACGACGAGCGCACCGGAGAAACTGGAGGGATGCTACGAGTCTGTGCACAATGCGAGGCGGAGCCATGCGGTGGAACTTCCGGACGGCGTGGAGCGAAAGAAAACGGGGATGGGAATGGGGGTGCGTGAGGGGAAGCCAGAACAGTCATGGACGTACAATAAAGCTGACGACGCTATCGAAAAGAATGACGCTGTGCAGCAATTCGGTGCAGCGTCTCAGGCTGATGGTGCTTGCCTCGGGGAAGGGATGGCCGTACTCGCGGAATACGATACAGGATCTTCCCAAGGACATTTTTGTAAACTGTGGGGTGGGTCGAGTGTGGCAGATCGTCAGGGGCGATCTAACCGCGTGGCTCAGCCCTCACGGTGGGACCTACTTTGCGCCCAAGCGACGTGTGCTGATTGGGACGCCCGGGATCGGGAAATCGGTGGCTGCCGGCTCGTACCTCCTCTACCAGCTGCTGCACTGCGATGTCGAGAAAAGCCAAGTGGTAGTCCACTGTTTTGGGGGAGGAGATGCGTACGTGTCTGACAAGACCACCAGAGCGGTGACAAGATACGGCGATGAGGACATGTGCATCTCTGAGTTGAAAAGTTTGAGGGGGCCATGGGAGGAATGCGTATATTATCTACGATGTGGCAAAGGAGGGAACGCCGCCACCGAGACATTTTGCGCCCACTTCTGGATGGGGCATGATTGCGGTGTCATTCCCAAAGGTAAACAACTGTGATGAGTGGGCGAAGCAACTACGAGCCGCGCGAGTCATCGTGAAGTGCCCTGACGAGATGGATGTGAAGGCGATGTGCGCATGGATAACGCGTGATGGGACCAAAGAGAAAAAAGCGGAATACTGGAAGAAGGTCAAAAAAAGCATGGAAAAACTGGGGCCGATTCCACAGCATATCTTCGATGCGGATGAATATGGAAAACGCACGCAAGGTGTTATGAGGGCCTTGGAATGGATCAATATTGGGGATCAAGGAAAGTACTTTACCCTGAGAGGAGAGGAAAAATTGTATTCCGAGGATCCGTCTCACAAACTTGTGAAGAACTTCCGGGCAAGAACAGATGAAGGTGCTGAGGTATTCCTGAACGCATCGATATGTGCTGATATTGGGTTTCGAACTGCGGACTGTTTGGCAAAGCCATTGCCACGAAGGATCTTTTGTTGATAATATTGGGATCGCATGGTGCTCTTGCTTCCCGAGCTCTCGAACAATTAGGTTTGCGCGCCTTCATGTATGGGGAGTTTGTCGGTGCACTAGTAAAGGGACTCAATGAGCTGAGGTCACCAGAACGTGGTGAAGAACAGGAATCAGTGCTGAAGGTAAACCATCAAGGGTACCCCACTCGCACCGTTGGAATAGCGGGACTGCAAGGCGGTGTCGAGAGGATTCCGATGGAGTACGGGGTGCTGTACATACCGGCGGTCGAAAACTTTCCGCTGGTGGACGGCTTTTTCTTTGTTGATTTGTCGCGGAAGACGCTGGTTGGGCTGCAGATGACGGCGGGTGGGCATCACACCACCGCCAGCACTGTGAGGCAGTTCACTGAGTGCCTGGCGGCATATTTTAATAGTTAGGAGGAATTATCCCGTGACATGTCGTGGGAGATTATTTGTGTGCAGCACGCAGACAGCACGCCGATGAACGGCTGGCAGGGATGTGATGTTGTAAATTCCAATAATGTGAGTGGCGCGGACAACAATGAAATTGCGGCGTTCTGGAACGAAAAGGTGCGCCAGTACCAATTGTCAATACCATCCAGAGACTTTTGAAGGGAAGAAGTTCACCGAAGTGAGGAATAACCACCGAAATAGGAAAACAAATTAGGGAGGGAAAGGCACAGTTTTGATTTGTGGTGAAAAAATATTGTGGGATTTATGTACTTTTGGATGCTTGTGTCTGAGCATGCGGTGCGGGTGCACCGGCCCCATGTGGCAGCACCGCACACGAATGCCAAAATGTCCAACGCTATCGAACATAACACTGACAGAATAAATTAGGGAGGGGGGTTGTTTGGTTTCTGGTGAAAAACATCGGGTGATTTTTATATGGTATGTTGTTTGTGTGTGTACGAGGCATAATTGGAGAATTGCCCGGTATGAGGGAATCATTGTCACCAGCGGTGTCGCGGCGTTACTGCATTGTCCATTTTCTTCTATCGTGTTCGAAGGCCCATCACTAAACGAGGCATCTTTAGGGGATGGACGACGAATAATTTCTATTGAGGAAACAGTGCGCTCCGTGTGACCGCATGGACTGAGGTGCCGCGTCATGAATGGGTGAGAATCCGCTTCCGCGTGTGGCTCTTTGGGTGATTGCTCGCTCCGTGTGCGTTGTGTGCCGGCAGCGGGCTGTGGCCGTATCCCGTTGGCCGTGGGATTGAACCGGAGGCGGTGGCGGTGAGTCTCTTTTAGTTCTTGTCCATTGGTGGTTGATTGCTGGCGTTGTGTGCGTTTGTTGTGTGGAGGGCCGAATTTTCTCACCCGCGGACTGACGGCACTGCGATGGTGTGTGTGTGTGTGTGTGTGTGAGGGCTGGAGTGGAGTCGCCGGCCAGGGTGAGGGCCTTGGCGGTGCCTTTCCCGCCTGTAATTTGTTTCTTTTGTGTGTGTTATGCTGCTTCTTGCTTTTCTCTTGTCATCTTCTCCTCTTGTTTTCCTGCGTGGAGTGGCCGCATGCTCACGGGCCATGTGGATTGTGAGTGCCTCGTGACGGCATCCATTCATCTCTCTCTCTCCGCCTGTCTGTCTGTCATTCCCTGTTGGGTGTGGCGTGTTGCACCGCGTGAGGGCTGGCCCGCACACACCGACGGCCCGCCGTGACTTGCCGTGTTGCTGCACTTTTCTGTGGGCGATGGTACTCCGTGCCGTCCCTTACAGATTCTATTTTTTCCCACACCTTGCGTGGGTGTTGTGCTCTGCTCCTCACTGATATTTCTGGTGTATTGCCGCTGTTGCTGCTGTACTCTCCACTTCTTGAACACAGACACGCTAGGAAAACAAGCGCTAATCGCTACTGTGAAATTCGAAGGCTCTGAAAGGACCAAAAACAGCACACACATTGCCCACGCACACACATATTTGTATGCTCTCCCGTGTTGCTGCAGTGAAGGCACCCCGCACACACAACCGTCGCCGTGTGACCGGATCCAGCGGGAGGAGGAGGGAAGGAAGAGAGAGTGAGCCGCAGAGGCCCAACATGTCCCGGCGTGCGTTTGCTTCCGCGGTGCTGCTCCTTCTCGTGATGTGGATGATGTGCTGCGGCAGTGGAGTTGCGCACGCTGAGCAGGCAGTGGCCGCTGTTGATCCTTTTACAGGGACGACGTCGATACCGCTTGCTAATTGGAAGGAGTTTGACGAAGCCAGCAGGGAAATCACCTCGCTCCGTGTT